GAAGATCTTCGAGGGTCAGGCTGGAAAGAATCTCCTACTCTGGGTAAGAGAGGCCGAGATGGCTTTGGCATCCGCCATGATTCAGAACGAGCAACAGCACGTAGTGTTAGCTTTCTTCAAGTTCGCGGGCCGAGCACGAGAATGGGCACTAACGTGTGGTACTTCGATTGCAGCTGCGTTCCACTCCTGGAAGGAGCCAAAGCCTCATATTTTGCGAGTGTTCTCGCCGCCCGACCAGGCATATCGCGTGCGATCGCGTTTCCTTGCCGCCCGACAGGGTAAGAAGGAATAGGTTTACTTTGTTCAATAGTTGCATACTCTCATTGCCGGGATTGCAGCCGATCTTCTCCCCGAAGCGGTCACACCGACCGTCTTTATGAAAGGCCTTTGCACTGGCGTGGCCAAAATGGAAGTCTTCCGTGTGCATCAGCCTTCTCTTGAAGAATCGGTCGGCGTGGCATTGAATGCCGAATTCAACTTCAAGTCGGCACGACTTGGTTGAAATGCTCAACTTCAGAGCTCGTCGAACAGATATGAGCCAATGGATCTCAGCTATGCTGAGAAGGAGGCGGGAGAGCTTCGAGCTGCTGAGCAGCGTTCAAACACCCGACGGTGTTTTGTCTGTGAAGAGACACACGACAACACTTTCGGACTGGTTGTCCCCTGCACAAGGCGCGTCAAGGTTAACCGAACCGACGTCCCGCTTACACGACCAGCAAGTTTGTCTTGCATACATGTTTCGTGTCCGAGAGCACAGAGCTCTTCGGGTCTGGGCCCTGCTACCTTCTATCTCTTTGAGGCACAACAGTATTCAGTTCATCCTCAGTAGGGCGCCCCGCGCCAACTGGGTTCAGTCGTTTCCCCGCGTCTCGCCAGACTGGTTGGAAGCGACCGTGAAGGGCTTTGAGAAGCCATGAAAGATGCTTATCAATTCCGAATCGTCGAGCAATAATACTCGACGCTCCACGATTGAAGGAAGTCAGCCGTATGCTGAGGCGCTGGAAGCGCGGTTGAGTGACACAGTTACTGTTGGCTTAGCGACGATGACTTGTGTCACTGTGCCGAGAGTCCATGTGGACCTCGGTGTCAAGTTCCTTGAATTTGATAGCGTAGGATGCTGCTTAGTCTTAGACTTGGGCTCAAAATTTTATCTTATCCTTGGTATGGCATGGTTAGAACACCATGAGCCATGGATCAATTAGAGGTCGAAGACCTTGGGCGCTCTGGCACGTCTCCTGGTGGAGCTTTGATGAGTCATGAATCCACCCTTGCTAGGAAGCAGAAGCGCTATTGGCGCGGGCACTGGACTGGGACGGTCAATGTGCTAGATACCGGAGTATCCGAGCTGTCAAACACCAAAGGTGTTTTAGACAAGAGTCCCGAGCGTTGCTCGCGGGCTAAACGTAAAGTGGCACGAAACCCACTGAGCACTGCTCACGTTACGAAGCAGTTGCTGCATGCCTTAAGTGGCATGGCCTGGACGAGGTCCGAGGCACCCTGGCCAAGGCCCTTCTGATGCTCGTGGAGTGGCACGTTATCCACTGAACGAAGAATGCGGAAATTGCAGCTCTTCGTCGGATGTTGTTAATAAAAATAAGGATCCAATAGAGCAGGGAGTGGGGACACTGGACGACGCCGAGTGCGTGCTCCTACTGGTATCAATGGGACGCAAAACCATTAAAAAGAGGAGACAGCGCTGCCCTACGTTATCTGCAAGACACCCAGGGTGTTTCTACCGTAGATGATGGCACACAGCTATATACCCTTGTCAATGGTATGATGGGGGAGGACGACGGCGACGTCATCTCGAGGCTATTCCCGCGGTGAATGCTCTTCTTGAGCTGGACGAAAAGTCATTCGAAGAGTTTGGCGGTGTCTCGAAGGCAGGCAATTCAGCCGAGGTAGTCATTATAAGACCAAACGAGGAGATTAACTCGTCGTCGCTTCTGGATGAAACTGTCCTAAAGGACACGAAGAAGGTGCTGAACGCAGGGAGTAGATCGTCTATCCTGATGAATCGTTTGGATCCGTATCATTTTTTGGCAAAGGGAATACAACACGTCGTCTCCAAAAACCCGCCATTGGTCCTACCTCCGGACCGAGGTATGCGCCATGAGATCGACCTGGTTATCAGGAACCAAATATTGCGGAATACACCCATGGCCTTCGCCCAAGGAGCAGTGTGACGTCATTGACCCCCTTTTCTATGCGAAGAACGACGCAGGAATGGTGCGTAAGAGCAAATCTTCCTATTCGACACCCACGTTTTTTGTCCATAAAAGCCGAACGGCAAGTAGCGTATCGTCCACGCTTATAATAGGCTAAACGCTGCCACCATTTCGGCACAGACGCCGAATCCTAGGAAGAATGTTTCCCAAAACAATATGGCTGGCTGTACAAAGTACAGTGCACTCGACTTGGTTTATGGGTACTACCAATTGCTCTTGAGGCCGAGTGATTATTCGCTAACAGCGATGAGTACTCCTAGCGGGATGCTCTGGGAGTGGTTGGTGATGCCTCAAGGGCTGTCAAATGCACTAGCAACATTTAATCGTCTGGTGACGCTATTGTTCAGGCCCCATCGGGCGTATGCACAGACATACTACGACGAATCTTCGTCCACAGTCGTGCGCAGCACGGATGACAGATGTGGTTTTCTACCAGCGGTGCTCGAGTGCATGCGCACGAATAAGCTGTTTGATAATGCCGATAAGTGCATCTTCAGCGCAGAAAAAATCCCATTTTTAAAGTGCTTCATCGGATAGCGTGGCCTTCGAGCGGGTCCCGCGAAGGTCAAGGCCATTGTGGACTGGTCGGTTCTAAAGAACCAAAAGGACTTGGGCAAGTGGCTTGGCCTTGCCACCTACTCGCACAAGTATAGCGCAAATTATGTGAAGCTGGCATAGCCATTGTTTAATCTCCTTAAGGATACAGAACGGTGTTGGGACACCGAGCATCGGGGGTCAAGGCAGCCTCCTTCATAATACAAATAATACCAATACTATCTTTGCCGGAACCCGATCGTACGTTTAGTGTCGTCTATTACGCTTCCAACTTTGCCATCTGCTGCGCCCTTCTGCAAGCAGACGCCGAGAGGTGATATCGGGTGATCGCGTTCGAATTTCGCCAGCTTAAGGCTGCGGAGAGGAATTACCCAGTTCACAACAAGGAATTACTTGCCATGGAGTGTGCACATGTCAGGTTTCGGGCGTATCAAAGCCATTTGTGATCAGCACAGATCGTGCGTCATTACGCACTGCGACTTAGTCGCCTCACCTCTCGCAGAAGATAGCCAGGTGGCTGTCATTTTTTTGCAGAATATAACTTCGAGGTGATGTGTAAGCCAGAAAAGCAGAATGCTTTGGCTGATGCGTTGTCACGCAGACCGAACTATGAGCTTACTCATGTCTGGACGGTGACGTCGTCAGTGACGGATTTGACCCGCACCGCATACTCGGATGACAGTATGTGTGTAGTGCTGCTACAGGATCTCGGGAGCAAGGCGTTTGGAAACTTGGACAAGAAATTTTCGGCACCGATAATTTCTTGTCCAAGTTTCCAAACGCTAGCGCGCACGGTTACACCGATATTCGTTAGATAACGGGTTGCTATACTATAGCACCGAATTAACGGATACACCACGAAATGTGGTTCATCATGATGAGGATTTGAATAACCGCATCCTCTATGATCCTCACGACACCCAACTCAGTGGCCAATGCGGTCGTGAAAAGACCAAAAGCTCGGTGAGCGGCCACTTTTGGTGGCCCAAGCTCATATGTGCGCACGTGTGAGACGTGTCAGAGGGAAAAACCCTTTCCAATTACGGCGGCGCCGATGGTCAATTTGCCGGCACCCTGGGTATTGGCAGTCCTTGAGTATGGACTTTGTGTTTGGCTCGGTGTACTCGGTGGGCGACACGGGTGTCGTGATCTTCGTGGGTCGTTTGAGCAAGATGGCTCATCTTGCGGCAGTGCCGAACACCATCGACGTTGTGGGCACAGCGACGCTGTTTGGGGATCGTGTGTTTCGACAACATGGACTCCCAGGGTCAATTGTTTCTGATAAAGACCCGCACTTCACCGCGAAGTTTTGGTCTATAAATTTCAGGGCTGGGCATTAAGCTAACTATGGCAACTGCGGACCATCCATAGACGGATGGTCAGACTGAGCGCGTGAATCGCGTCGTTGAGACGTTCTTCGCAGCGTCTGCGCTGAGATGCCGAAGCGCTGGAGCCCTCTATTGCCACTCGTAGGTTTGATCTAAACAATGCAGTGCATTAATCTACTGGCTGCACGCCGCTCTACGTGAACGGGCTTGTTCATCCTCGCATCCCGCTGATGGCGCCATCCCAGGTTAAGGGCTTAGTGGGGGGAGAATAGCCGAGCGGCTAGCTGATGTCAGCCCCCTAACTGTCTGTTAAGAAGTCGATTAATTTCTGTCAACCAGACTGAGTGTCTCACAACACGTTCGCGATGCGATGGCTGAAAGCTAAAGCATGCAGAAAGAATATGCAGACAGAAGAAAAAAAGGAATGTTGAAAACATTGATGTCGGACACCTGGTTTAGCTGAATGCTAATAACCTTCCTACACATGCAGTCTCTGCTGTCTTTAAGACGGAGCTCCGTTCATAATTTATTGGTCTTTTAAGGTCGTGGTCAAGCGAGGCCTAGCGTATATGTTGAACCTTCCGAGAAGGATGCGCTCCCACCCGGTGTTCTATGTGGGCTTGCTTAAGCCGTACCGAAATCCGGCGCAAGTGAACGCGGAAGCCTTGGTGCTGGGTCGGTGCTCAAAGGCGCTCGGACACCCAAAATTTGATCCAACAACTGGTTCTGAGCATGGAGTACAACAATTTCCGTTTCCAGCGACGCAAGGCGCTCCACCGTCACACGAAGTGACGAATTCGCTTGCTCGATGACTAAAAGCCGATCCGATTGAGCACGATATTCCTCAACGCGAGGAGTCGGTGCACAAAGTGCTCCAGGCTTTTGAGGTCTATCGCACAGCGACGTCGGAGAGATGCTCGGCAGAATGCCGATGACGACGGACTTTGTCCTCCAACGCTCGAAGAGCGTCGCGATTCACCGCTTGGCGATCGATTAAGTCGTCATCGTCCGCCGCCTTCTCTTTTTGATGAGAATGATGGCGTCCACTACCACGTGAAATGCCTTGTGGGTCGACGTCGTCGGCGGGATTTAACCCAATATCTTGTGAAGTAGTGGGGATACCCAAACTTCGAGAGTTTGTGGGAATTTGAGATGTCACCTCGGTAAGACTGCCCAGACGTCGTAGACGCTTATGATCAGAAAGATCATGACGCCTTGCGTCTCCGTGCGCACAGCTCTTCTCGACAGTAGCCCGAGAGGCCGAAAGGCCATGAGCTGAGCTCAAGCAATGGCTATGAAATGCTGCGATCGTTGAGCCACCCTCGTGAGAAACTACAGAGCTCGCGGAAGCGTTATGGATTGTTACATGTGTCTCAGGGCGACAATACGTGGGAAGTCGGCGTTGCGCCTTAAATTTGGAAAACTCAAATCTTAGATGACGCTCAACGCGCACATCCAATTCCTTGTTGCTTTGCTGTAAGGTAGACAGCGAAAAAGGTTTCCGGTGCCGCTGCACCCATCGCTCAAAGAGCTCATCGTCATCTGTAGCGGTTTTGCCAGGGGTGAGCACCACAGGGATGGTCAGCATTGCGGGAACAGGAACACCTCCTTTTTGAGCTCGAAGTTGAGCGCGGTACCGACCCATTGGAAACCAAAAAGCGAGCTCGCAGAGCTTTATGCTGATCGGCTCAGTTTGTGTAGTAACCGGATGCCCGACTACATAGACACCAAACGATCGAGCGATCGCGTCTTCCGCTTCAGCAGTGGGTCCACCGAGCAGAAGCCATGATCCACACAAGTGTCCAAGACCGAACGTGGAAACGCAGCCGCCCTTTGAGCAGCCTCCAATCGCTGCTCCTTTGCCTCGTTGAGGCGGTTGGTAATAATAGCACTTCCCCCGGAAGCCGAGAGGTCGGGGAACGGACATGGTGTCCGCAAGGCTTGAGCTGGGCTCACGTCGCGCCATTGGTGCAATTCATTCTACTCGTCTTTTCATGCTGGGAAAGGAGTATCCGATTCGTAGTCAGCCTCCTCCAACTCCTCTATGAGGAAATCCGTCGCCTGGGGCGGGCGTGGTTTGTTGCACTCAGTTCCGAGGGCTTGATATGTGCTTCCCGTGATACAGTGGACGTAATGTCAAGGATGCACCCGCGAGCGCCCTCGGAACCAGCTAGGCTGGGTGTTTTGCGCGTCGTAGACACAAGGCTCATCGAGCGGGGAATGTTTAAAGTTGTTCTTACAGAACGTAAGGTGTCTCAGACACACGAGCCTCGTATGAGACGACCGTTAAATGTGAATTCAGGATATTCGCAATTTTAATGGGGGGAGTGTAACGGGGTTACATGTACGATTGTAAGAAAAGGCGGGTCGCACAAAATTGTGCGATCGTACATAGGTGTGTACTACACAAGTTTGTGTAATCACACAGTGGTGTGGCCTTATCGTAACAAGAAGCCACTACGTGGCAAGATTGTCAGTAGTAATGCATATTGCTATATTAATTAGGTCTTGCTATATTAATTAGGAAAAACCTAGGATTTCAAATATTGGTGGCTCTGCTGCAATTAAAACAATTAAATAAAGTTTTGATTTTGAGCAGAAATGCTCGTTTTCCTTTTTAAGGTTTTTAGTTTTTAAAAGTAGCGATTGTGATCCGCTACACTCGTACTGGTTATTTGAAAGAACGTATTCAGCTTCCTCTACGCAAAGAGCTACGGCAGCCCCGCTGCACGTGTTCCTGCAGGTATCCTTTTTGAAACTATCAAATCAATAAGTTTACAGTTCAAGTCTGTATATAGTAGGTTTCGCGTATAACTTTGCTCCCCAATAGACGATTGGATGTCCACAATTTCTCCGAAGTCTTGTGTTTCGTTTGTAAAATCAAATTCGTTGCGATATGCTACACCATCTTGTAGTTCATACTTCTTCGCAGGATCTATAAGCTATTGGCACCCTCACTCTAGGATTAAGCTTTCTCTAGCGAGGGAATGATGGTAGCTATCCGGCCCTATTTTGGAACAGAGTTCCGTACCACTCATTCCGCTATGGGGCTAGCTCGTTCAGTGGGGCCTCCGTCCCACCCAACTATCGCACGCCTTTTCGGGTGCGAGGTAGACAAGCTGCATTGGGTGTGATTGCTCGTCCATAACTCACTTCAGATCCTATGGTTATTAAACCGGATACTTTCCGGTCCGGATCAAGTGGCTAATCACTTGAGCCCAAGGTTGCTTCCTGATTTAGACCGGACGACCCTGGGAATACTACGAATTTTCGCGTAGCTAGATCTAATATTTGGCAAGCAGTATCTACTGGACCACTAGAAACATCTTGCAGCGGAGTTGTCGTAGCTCTTTGCTCAGAGTAAGCTAAGCTTGCGACCTTGCGTTCTTTCAACGAACCAGTACATATGTAGCGGATCGCAATCCGCTACTTCTAAGTACTAAAGTCTTACCAAGGCAAACGAACACTTTTGTCCTGAAACGAAACTGTATTTAATTGTTTTTGTAGCAAAACCTAATCAATATATTAATATGCACTACTACTGGCACGTGGTGGCTTCTTGTTACGGCGTAGCCACACCACTGCGTAATACACACCTATGTACGGTGTGCGACCCGCCCTTTCTTACAAAGGTCGTATAAACCCGTTACACATCTCAAAAGCGTAGCTTTACGTCTCGTCAAAACTGGTATATTTGGCACCTTGAGGTTGATAGCATCTTTGTTTTGTCTCTTGATATTTCTTCCCCAGAGTTGTTGTATCAGTTTGGTCAGCTTTACATAAGTCGGGTCACCCTGTTTATGCCTTTGACCACGTATGCGTGCAAACTGGAACAATTAATTGTGTAACTTTTATGTAAACTCACTGTACTTGTTAATATTTGGCTTGGAATGCAAAAACAAACGGCTGTAAATACATCTGTGGAATATGATGATATGTTTTGCTACATTGATCGCCTACATTTTGCAAGGAATAGAGCTGCTCGCAAAGATATCTCAGAATAAACTAAGAACCTTTGTGTCACTGCAATTCATGACAAAGAGCCTTTGTGCCACTGCGATTCATAAACTAATGCACCAATTCAAGATTGTTAGTGTGAAAAGTTGATCATTGGGTAAACAATGAAAATAATAAAAATTTCAACCCATCTTAATAATTCTACTAAAATAATTGGCGCTATTAGAGTTCTTACAAAGTCAGAAATATCTTTAATAGAGATAACTACGACCATTTTTACAAATTCAGAAATCTTGTATTTATGTCCATTCGCATCAACATTATAGAACGACCAACAAGTGCGGCGGCCCTTGTCTTGATTTTATGTTTGACACGTACAAAATGTTTTTAGTATTTCGAAGAGGTCCGTCGATTGTATCAAAGCCGTTCGAGCACTGGACTCTTACAACGACGAAAGACGTTCGAGGCACTCAGAAGACAATCACATTATGTTCGGTTGTCTCATCTGTCATGATTTGATGCTAATATTTCTTTTATTATAAATAACAAAATTTTAGCCCTCTCTCTTTTTTCCTGGTATAGTTCTTTTCTATGCAAAGAAAAAAAAATCTTGTAGTTCCGACTTATTGAACACATTTATTCAAAGCTTCACTCAGACTGTACCTGTACCACAAAACGATCCGCATATTTTATCCTGTTGTCCAACGACACAAGCATGTCCAGCAATCGTCACATAACTCATTTTCTTCACTACCACCATGGCAACTCGTCGCGAGCAGCGCCGAAGCCTTAACGATTCGTTCATGCGCGGTTCAATATCCCGCCAAGAATACGATGAATTACTGCCATTCGTATCATCACCAACCTCGAGTCAAACCCAACAAGAATCTTTATTCGATGTCAATCGACCTGAAGCACAACAGGCTGGTAGCGTCACTTCATCAACGACTCATCGCAATGTTCGCTTCGCCGACGAAGTAAACTTTACCACGTCAGATCCTGGTGAGCATCACCCACAGCATCAAATGCCAGCACCTGTCACGGCTGCAACGTCATCGTCAGGATTGCAGCTGCGCTGTCCGGCTTGTGGCACAAGTAATGATATGACGCGTAGCTCTCGCTGCTATGTGTGCAATTCGCGCCTTGCCGTTTCTGATGAGCCATCAGCTTCAACGCCCAGAAGATTAAATACAAGACAGCGCTGGCCCATTGTAACGGCCATGACGCCTTCAAATGATGCTTTCAGTGCGGCGGATGGCGGTCGTGTTGTGTTTAACAACGGCATTTTTTCTTGTGCTATGCAGGACACACAGATCGTTACGACGGCGGAAGGAAGCACTTGCGAGGTGTACGTTATGTGCTGCACGTGGCAACCTGAGGGTATAAGTAGTCAGCAGCCACACGCAACATGGTATGTGTCACAACGATTTAGCCAATTTGAGAGATTGCACAAGGTGTTGAAAAGAAGATTCTCACGCTCATCAGCAGTGTTACTACCCCCATTTCCTGCGAAATATCATTTGACGGACCGACTTGAGAAGAGGAAGCAAGGTTTAGGAATATACATGCCAAGGTTACTAGAAATGTGTACGCAACTCCCCGACGGACAGTCGGTGCCGGAGCTGGACGAATTTCTGGATATTTCGCACCAGGTCCAAATTTTCCAGTCTCGGCGTCGTAGCAATTCTGAGCCTCCTACCGCGAGCACGAATTCGCCTGAAGAGGCATCGTCGCTCTTTCCGGCATTCACGGGTCCTGTTATACTACCTTCACAGCCACTGGCACCTCCTATGGATGCGACAGAACTTGCTCAAGCTGAGGGTGCGATAAGGCTCCTTTCCAGTGCAGTGCGCAATTCACGAGGAGACGTTCGTAGTGACGGCACCGTACAGCACCATTTGGGTGTGTGTGTGCAATTGGCACCCGGACTGCAGCGCTCTGTCGATGTGGAGAACCCATTTGCAGACGCGGACCTCATTCCACAAGCATTGCAGTGCCAAGAAGACCTTCAGCAGGCAGTCGCATTGTACAATGATGCGCTCCTTGCTGCCTCGGGGATTTTACCTGCCCGACAACAAGTGCGAGAATATAGCCAGCATGAGCCACATGTCCAATCTCAGCAGATGCCAGTGGGCAACGTTGTTCCTGCAAGTGCCGCGTAAGGACCACATACTTAACATGCATCATCTATCTACACATAATAAAAATGTAAGCAGTTTAATTTGCCTGTTGCTGGCTTGAACGCATGATATGTATTAAAAATGAGCAGCAAGATGCAAACCAGAATCATAATCGTAAGCATAATCGTTCACTACTTCCATTCGACGATGACTTCTTCTGATCTAAGTCCACCTGAATTCTCGCATGCGAGAAATAGTTGCCTTCGCAATAAGCAGAACACTCGACAAAACCAAGGCTTTACGAGATTTACAGTGCATGAATGATTACACGCCATAGCTAGGCTGGTAAGAGTTCTGCTGACCCGGAACATACGGAGGTGGTGGAGCCTGAACGCCACCACCTTCCTGTGCAGAAAGAGCATACGTTTCCGTGACAGCAAGCAGTGAGTCATTATACAGTCCCATAGTTGTCTCAAGATCTTCTTGACACTGCATGGCACGCGGAATCAAATCCACATTGGCAAACGGATTGTCCAAGTTTGCTGAGATCTGCAAGCGTGGCAACAGCTGCACGCAGACTTTAAGGTGGTGTTGTACTTGAGGATCGCGGCGTAAGTCACCACGTGCACTACGAATGGATGCGTTCAGCAGCGCCACAGCTTGTTCCGTGTGACACAGTTCCTCTTCATCCAGCGGGGTAGGCAGTTCAGTAGGTAAGCGTGCCTGCTCACGAGCAGCCATTCCCTCAGCCCCGCCAGCATTTACGTTCAGCGCACGATTAACCGCATTAGATTCGTCGGCACCGCCTGACGAGAGTTGACGGCGATACTGCTCCACTTGACGCGATACGTTCAAAAAGCGGTCCAGCTCGGGCACGTTTAAATTTTCAGGAAGACGGGCACACAAGTCGAGCACCTGCGCTACATATCGTTCCAGACCCCGCTTGCGCTCCTCGACAATAGCACTTGAATTTCCTGATTTTCCTTTGAAAACTCCTCCTAGTACGTGTTTGCGGGGGAAAAATGGAATTGTAGCTACTGCTGCTGGAATCTTTCGCTTTAAGTCCTTGTGTAATTTTTCAAAGACACTAAAGCGGTGAGATACCAACCAAGTCGTAGACTCATTCGAATCCTTCGGTTGCCAATTGCAACGCAACACATACACCGTGTATTCTGTGTAATTATCGTCTTGAAGAGTTTGCGTACGGTGCATCTGCGCATCAAAATACCCGTCGTGGATATATATACGGCCATTCTCAGTAGAGAATGTGCCCAAAGGTGCTGTCAGTGTCGACACACTTCTCTGACGCGATTGACCACCGTATCCGTAGATACCAGGATTAGCGGCGGCAGCAGCAGATTCGTCACTTGTAGTCAGTAAAGAGCCACAATCGTCGCAATGATTGCCATTGGCCGTGTTGTTGGTAGCACCGCATGCAGGGCAACGGATCTGTATGCCGTATACTCCCGCAGTATATAGACGGCTCAATGACTCCTCCTGCTCGGCAGTGAGTGCAGCACCAGACGAAGCCGCTTCAGGCTTCTCGAGAAGAAAGGGCACCAGCTCATCATACTCAGATTGAGTAATAGCACCACTCAAAAGCAAGTCGTTCAGCTGTTGAAGCTGCTCTCGGTTCTCCTGTGAAACATTATCGGGGATCTCTACCACATGCACCTGACCGGAAGGAGTCTGAACACTATTCACCTGAGCAAGTCCACTGAGAAGGCTGGCACTGACACTCGCAGCCTCCAACAGCGCCTGTTCCTTGCGGCGTTGAGCCTCCTCGCGTTCGCGCTCCATTCGCTCTTCAAGCTCTTTCGCCTCAGCAATGGCTCGTAGCTCGGCCTGACGCTCGTGCTCCACAGCAGCAGTGGCTTCCGCAGCAGCAGCTTCGGCTTCAGCAACCGCAGCCGCAGCTTCCTTTGCAAGTCTTATAGCCTCTTCTTCAGCAATGCGAGCTTCGGCTTCCATGCGAAGGCGGTCTTCTTCAGCAGCAGCGCGAGCAACGCTTTCGCGACGAGCGATATCAGCAGCCAGTCGAGCTTCTTCCTCACGGCGCTTAGCCTCTTCGGCCTGACGCTTAGCCTCAGCAGCACGTGCAGCTGCCAAAGCAAGCATTTCTTGCTTCTTCGACTTAAATAGACGGCGTGCCGTCATACCACGAAACAGAGCCTGAACCACGACAACAGCGGAGCGCTTCTTCTTGAAATCACGACGTACTGACAATGCTCGCCACCACCGCTGAATTCGGACCACCGAGTTACGACGGAATTGAATACGCCGCAGCAGTT